GCATGCCAGGCGAGTGCGCTACCGCTTGAGCCACATCCCCAGCCCAGTAATGGATTCAAATGTGACCTGTATTCCAAAGTCATTCTGCCCACTGAATCCATATAGGATAAAGCAATCCTAATGTCACAGAAAAAGGCAGAAAGTACTAGATGAATTGAGAGCCCCAAATTCGGAAGCTACTATCACTGGCACTTTTGACAGGAAAACCCCTGCCACAGGGAAAACAAGTAAGCTCATGATCAATAGACTTCAGAGGTGAGAAAGACTTCTGACCGGGCAGTGATTTTCTGAAGAACCATGCAATAAATTGTTTCAGTACAGYGCTTAGTAAAACTCTTGCTAAGAATAAGAAATAGGCAGGTAAAGAATTCAGAATGTTTATAGAATAACAGCACTAGACATGATGAACTGGTTAGCCATTAAGCGTTTATTAAACAAGGCTCAATAATTCCCTAGCATTTCTCTAAAACTGTTCTCCTCATTCCCTGCAATTTCTCACACTAAATTCCCAACCCTTATGCAATTTTAGTTTTCTTAATTCCTTTAAAGCCTCCTGCAGGATACTTTACTTTGGAGTACACTGACTAGATATTCTGTACCCAGGTCAGTCAAGAAGAGTTGATTAATYATCTGCCAGTCCAGTGAAGTGATGGATGAATAACTTTCCCAGTTTCACCTGAGCCAACATGTCCCAGTTATACCAGTACTCATGTGGTCCCTCTGTGGTCATGGAAGGTTCACTAATTCTACCAGCTCCCAAGTTCTTATGATCACCAGTGGCACTGACCATCCCCCTGCTGATCAGGCACACTCCCATCCCTTTGAATTTGCTCAACCTGCTGCTGTGCTCTTCCCCAGATACCAAATGGTTAGTTCCCTTATTTCTTCAGGTCGTTGTGGAAATATCACCTTTTCAGTGAGGTCTTCCCTAACCATCCATTCAATCCCTCTCCCAGTCTGCACTTCTCTGCTTTATTTTCTCCAAAGCCTTTTACACTAGCTAATATAGACTATTTTCCTTACCTGGTTAAGTGTCTTCCCAAACTAGAATGTAAACTTCATTAGAGCAGAGATTTTCTTCTGTTTTGCTCAGTGATGTATTCCCTACACTTAGATCAGTAGCTGGCATACAGGAAGCACTCAGCATAGTGTGTTAAACGAACAGATGGATGGATGACTACTGTGCCAATACCAGTTGCACCAAAGATCAGTATGAAGTCTAAAGTCACCCCATTAATATACAGGCCCAGGCATAGAATCCCATTCCCAAAGCAAAGGCAGCAGACATACTAACCTGCCATATTCCTTATGCAGGGTGACCAGAAAAGCACAGAGCTCACTAGCATGACAGCCTGGCAGGCCAGTTACAATGCTGATAATTACCTACATGAAAGAAAAGTCATGTGGGTTTGCAATTCAACCAAGAGGCAGCACTGAGTAAGAAGTTAAGAGAAATGAACTTCTGGAGTCAGGCTTTGAGGGCTTGAACCTCAGCACCACTATTCATCAGCTCTGTGACCTTGGGACAATGACAAAATCTATCTTGTAGGGTTGGATGTGAGGAGTAACAGACTTAATTTATTTCAAATGCTTAGAATAGTGCCTGGCACATAACAAATACCATATACAATGTAGTCTTACTATTCTAATTGCTGTGAAACAGGTTGTGAATATATCAGTTAAAATATAATGTATTAAAAAGCCGATCTGCTTGAGACCACAAACCTCTTTTGTAAAGCAGACATTCAGGGATAAGATGACTATTTCCAACAATAATACTTCTTAGGAAAATAATAGGCAGAAAGGAGGTCTGAGACAAAAATGCCTTGGGCTACACTGGTGTGACAAACTTGGCAGAGGACAGGAGCTGCCCTGTGGATGTTTCTGCCTGGCTGCCTGTGTCCCTGAGCCACATGGCCTGGCCTGAAACAAAATTCACTGGGCATGGGAAGCACTTCTGATTCCCAAGGAAAAGAGAAGCCAGCTGGATTGTCCTCACCTCATTACATGGCCACAAAAAACAGGCCCCTCTTGGGCTGGGGATATAGCTCAGTTGGTAGAGTGCTTGCCTTGCATGAACAAGGCCCTGGGTTCAATCCTCAGCACCACACACACACACATAAAAAAAAGAAAAAAACAGGTCCTTCTTTAGGTAGATACTATAAAGCCTTTTAAGAAATTCACTGAGACTGGGTGTGATGGTACATGCCTGTATTCCCAGGTATTTGAGGCTAAGGCAGGAGGATTTGCAAGTTCAAGGCCAGCAMAAGCAATTTCTTGAGACCCTGTCTCAAAATAAAATATAAAAAGGTCCGAGGATTTAGTTCAGTGGCAAAGTACTTGCTTAGCTTGTGTAAAGCTCTGTGTTTAATCCTCAGTACCAAAAAAAAAAAAAAAAAAAAAAAAAATTCATTGAAAAAGAAGGGATCAAGCAGGAATCAGGCAACCACTGAATGATGTCTATGCAAATGACAGAGCATAGCAAAGACTTCAATAAGTACGTATTTTGTTTTATTTTACAATAGGCAAGACTCCTTGAGACAGGCCTAGTCACAGGTAACATAGACTCAAGCTAATCCCTGTGGCCCTTACCATCCAAGCTGATCACATCAGCACAAAGATGGCTAGGGATCCTGCTTTTTATATGTGTAGGAACCCAGAGCTTTTCCTCCTCCCCTCTAACCAGGGCCTGTACACTGTCATCCTTATTGATCCTGTGCAGTACTCCACATCGACATTTTGTTTATCCTTCTCCATTCAGCTTTCCCCATATCACTACTACTCCTACTCCTCACTCTGCCCAGGTCTTAGCCCTTCATATCACAGTACATACATATAAAAGCAGACACTTTCTAATTTTTTTTTGTTGTTGTACTTGGGATTGAACCTAGAGGCCCTCTACCACTGACCCACACCCCTAGCCCTTTTTACTTAATTTTGAGGCATGATCTTGCTAAGTTGCCAAAGCTGGCCTTGAACTAGTAATCTTCCTGCCTCAGTCTCTGGAGTCTCTGGGATCACAGGTTGGTGCCACCACATCCAACTTGATAGCACCTTTTTAAATAAAATATAAGAAGCATTTTCAAACATTTTATACTTTYATCTAAGGGAAACAAATGATGCTTCTAATGGTTTAGAGACTCTATTTCCTTTTGCAGCTGATTTGCACAGGAACGAATGCCCTCTTTGAGTCTATTACAACATATGTCTCCTGAAGGAACAAACGGACAGTGGGAGGAGGTCAAGAGGATGGAAGTGTGAGGAAAGAGTAGTTAAAATTCACTCTGTGGAGAACAATGTTTATAGAGTATCATCTTACTCTGGTGATTCCACCCAGGCCCAAATAACATGGGCACTCTAACCCTTATTAAGTGCAACAGATCCACTGCTAAGTAAGTCCTTTGCACAACCAGAAAGAGCTGAGAGCACTGAATGAAAGTTTAAAAGACCTGGAAAAGCAAAGGGAGGGCATGGCAAGATGCCAGGATTTATCACTGTCATGAGACTTGGCCTGACACAGTCATTGTAAAGAGCAGGTTTCATGTATATCATTACATCAGTATCCAAGGAGGTGGAGCGTCTTATAAAAGGGACTCCACCTGAGCTCCTTTTGTTAACTGACAAAAAAGACCCAAGGGCAGGCTTTAAGGATTATCCTCCTATGAATTCCCAGCATATTTGGTGAGCTTTTCTACCTTGTCATTTTCTACTCTGTGAGGAGGGCTGATTTCAGCTTGCTGCAGCAGGATCGGAAGATGGATCCGCATCACAGGCTCCCGACTAATGCTGCTGACAGCGAAATGCTGAAGAAACCTGGAAAAACAAAGACAGTGCTAACATGTCACCATCACCAGCTTTGCCTGATCTGCCCACACAGCAACTTCTTACTGAAMTGCAAAAAATAAGCCTTAGAAAAATTCTCTCTAGAGAATAAAATTGTATATGGTGCATCACTATTTCCTTTTTACAAGGATCCCTAAGAAACTATGGAGAAAAGGGGGGTTTTAGAAAGGACCAACCCYGAGGTTTCTGACATTTCAAAAGCTAGAACATTAAACATCTAAAATCAGACACCCAAAGCTCACCAGTCCAGCTCTGGGAGTTTAGCTGAGAGCAGCTTTGAAGAACTCCAATTCTCCCCAGCAGGATGGTTCAGGGCACGAAAGAGTTTCTGTGCACTAGAGTGCCTAGAATACCAAAAGATCACAGATTAGAATTCCACTTCCATACAGCATGCATACTTTACACAACTGGTTCTGAGGCAGGCTTTCAAGCCAAATCCCATGACAGAGTCAATGCTTCCAAAATAAGCATCTCACTGACTTAAAATGTGGTATGAGTGCATGACGACTGGCATGCCCACATAGGATGAATGGTCTGAAAGCCCTTGACAGTAGTATCAGTTTCTGATTCTTAGTAGATTKCATTTCTCTTGCCTTCTATTTCCCAAGAGCACTAGCTACTTGCAAGTTGGCAACACTGAAATGACTGCTGGCCCTTTCAGAAGCCAAGACCCCTGTGTTACTTAATGTAAGTCATCCTGCAGAAAGCACACCCACAAAGCTTAGGGAAGCAAGCACAAACACTGAAGGCAGCCACTTACAATTTCTTTTGTTCCACAGATAATCCATCTTCCTGGATCACTTTTAAAGAGAGCCCTGAATTATCCTGCTGTTGCCAGGGGGAGAAGACCTAAACAAAACAGAATTTGAGCAAAGAATACTTTAAACCCAACAACAGGATATGGAACCCACATGGGGATTTGATGATTGTTGAAAATCTAGAATGTCTGTGCAGAGAAAAACCATTTTAACAAACAGGGTTTTGTTGTTGTTGTTGTTGTTGCTGTTTTAAATAAGATCTGAAGCAATTTTGTTCTGTATTTTTCAGAATCAGAACTATCTTTTTGGGTTCCGCTCCTTGAGGATTCTGCTCTTCCAAAGGTCAGGAAGCCTTGAAGAAGGTGCTAGGAAATAGGGGCATGCTCTTTCCTGGAGATAAAGTAGATATCAGTGGTTTAAGTAACTTCTGTCTAGAGGCAGAAGAATGGCTGAAGAGAATCTGAAAGGCTGTCTCTAGGTTCCCAGATTGAAAGGGCAACAGCAAGGAGGTAGAAAGTCCAGGAAATAGTTAGGGGGAAGAATAGACTAACTGAAGAAGCCAATCTGTAGCTGAAGTCAGCTCTTGTTCCTCCACATTCTGTGAATCTGTCCTGRGGGAGGGACACTGTCCTCTCACAAGCTGCTGTAATCACACCTTTCCAAGAATCTCCCCCAGTCATGAAGCTGACCATCAGTTTGATTGGCTGCTGCCTGGTCTCTAAGTGGGTCAGATAATTCCTGTGCAATCTGTGCTAAGTACCTACAATTGGCCAGCTGCCAGGTGGGACTATTCAAAAGGACAGGGCTGTGACCCATAGGGAAGGAGAGCCTGGGATAAGGTGGAGAGCTCTAGTTCAATAGGTAGGTCCTATGATTCKATAAAATGGCTGAAAGAAAATAAGTCTAATTAGGATTTAAAGGGGACAAAGCAGCCAAGTGTGGAAGTGCATGCCTATAATCCCAGAAACTCAGGAGGCTGAGGCAGTAGGTTTTCAAGTTTGAGGCCAGCCTTAGGAAATTTAGCAAGACCCAATAAGCAATTTAGCAAGACCTTGTTTCAAAAAATAAAGAGAGATGGGGATGTAGCTCAGTGGTAAAGYGCCCCTATTTCAATCCCCAGGACCAAGAAAAAAGTGGGGGAAGGGAAAAGTAGTTTTTTTTTTAACTTTAAGTTTTTGCTTGTTTTTTGTTTTAAAGGCTGAAAACCCTTTTATTCAGTTTCCTTTAGGCTCTTACTCCTCACTAGCAAGAGCACCATGCCAGAACCAAAAGAATATATAGAGAAGTTGCCTCTGTGCCAGGCCCTCTCACACTACACCATTAGCTCTGACACACTATCTTACTGTTTAAATTGCTAAGGAAAAAAAATGACGGGATGTTACCTCTGAGTAAAATGCTTGATATATCTTTGATTTGGGGAAAAGAGCAATCATCAGAAAGTTGCTTGATCCATGGAAATGAACTGGGAGATGAGGAAGCAATGAGCTTCTGAAGTTGATAAAAAGGGCAGCCACAACACTGGTAGAATCCTAAGGAGAAAAAAAAGTAGCATTAGCAAGAAAACTCATTTTCATGATGCCTGTCCTCAGAACTAAAATCAGAATACACAAGAACAATTTCAGTGCAGTTATTTCACACTGAGTGATTTACTGGGGTTCAATAATAGATGGGCTTTCCAATACAGTTATAGGAGATTGGGCAGCACAGGAATTTTTTTCCAAAAATAAAAATGTCATCTCAAAATTCCTTCTAAAATATTAACACCTTAATCAGATATATGATTTGCAAATACTGTCTCCCATTCTTTGGTTCTTTCTACTCACATGAGTGTCTTTTGATGTGCAAAAGTTTAATTTTGGATAAAGTTTAATTTATATATTATTTCTTTTGCTATTTGTGCGTTCAATGCAGTATCTAAGAAATAACTGACAAACCCAATGTCATGAAGCTTTTCCTCTATGTTTTTTTAAAAACAGTTCATCATTTTGCTTTTATATTTAGATTTTTTATTCATTTTTAATACTTTTAAAATTTTGTTATATATGACAGCAGAATGCATTATAATTCATATTACACATATACAGCACAAATTTTCATATCTCTAGTTGTACACAAAGCAGAGACACACCATTCATGTCTTCATACATGTACTTGGGATAATGATGTCCATCTCATTCCACCATCCTTCCTACTCTCAGGCCTCCTTCCTTCCCCTCCCTCTCCTTAGATTTTTATTCATTTTRAGTTAATTTTTCTACTTAATTTGCATGGGATATCCAGTTTTCCCAGCACATTTCTTGAAAGACTGTGCTTTCCTCACTGAATGGTTTTGGCATCCTTATCAAAAATCATTTGATCACAAATGAGGAGTTTATTTCTGGGCTCTCTATTCTATTTTGCTGGTCTATACATCTGACTTTATGTCAGTACTACACTGTTAGGTTACTGAAACTTTATTTTAAGTTTTGAAATCAGAAAGTTAGAGAGCTCCAAGTTTGTTTTTCTTCTTCAAGACTGTCTTAGCTAATTGAGGCCCTTTTTAAATTTCATATAAATTTTAGGATGGTTTTTCTACTTCTGTAAAAATTTATATACTGCAAAAAATGCCACTGGGATTTTGATAGGACTGCACGGAATCTACAAATTGCTTTGGGTAGTACTGTCATTTTTTTAACTACATTTTTTTTAAATACTTATTTTTTAGTTGTAGTTGGACACAATAGCTTTATTTTATGTATTTATTTTTTATGTGGTGCTGAGTTAATTTTCTACTATAGTTGAAAGCACTCTACCACTGAGCCACAACCCCAGTCCCAATATTGTCATTTTAATAATATTAAATGTTCTGATCCATGAAAATGAATGTCTTTCTATTCATTTAGATTTTCTTTAATTTTTCAGTAATGTTTCATAGTTTTGGGTAAACAAATCTTTTATTTCCTCATTGAAATTTATTCCTAAGTATTTTACTCTTTTTGATGCTACTGTAAATGGAATTGCTGGGGGTGGGGGGGTTGGTACAGGGTATTGAACTCAGGGGCACTCTACTACTGAACCACATCCCCATATCCCCAGCCCTATTTTGTATTTTTTTTTTTAGGAACAGGGTCTCACTGAGTTGCTTAGCACCTTGCTTTTGCTGAGGCTGGCTTGGAACTTGTGATCCTCCTGCCTCAGCCTCTGGAACCACTAGAATTACAGGTGTGTGCCACTGCACCTGGCTTGGAATTGCTTTCTTTCTTTTTTTTTTTTTTTTTTGCAGTTATAGATGGACAGCATGCCTTTATTTGTTCAGTATTTTATGCGGTGCTAAGGATCGAACCCAGAGCCTCACAACACATGCTAAGTAAATGCTCTGCCACTGAGCTACGGCCCCAGCCCTTGGAATTGCTTTCTTAATATCCTTTTCAGATTGCTCATTATTAGGAAGTAGAAATGCAATTAATTTTTGTATGTTGATTTTTTATCATACAACTTTGGTGAATTATTAGTTTTAGAAGCTTCTTATGGAATGATTAAGGTTTTGCAGATGTGAGGTCATGCCATTTATGAACAGTTATAATGTTACTTATTTTTTCCAATTTAGATACCTTTTATTTCTTCTTTTTGTCTAATTGCTTCAGCTAGATCTTGCAAAACTGTTAGAATAAAAGTGGCAAAAGCAGGCTGACATCCTAATCTTATTCCTGATATTAGAGGGAAAGGGCTTTGTTTTTTGTTTTTAAAAATCTAGTAGTTTGTTCATTAAATAAATTTTTGGAAAAAATAGAACAGGGAATGAAGGTTAAAAAATTGATAAAAAGTCTCATCCTTAACCCAACTATAGCTAATATTTTGGCTTTTTTTCTATTTTTGTTTTTTAACTCACTGCCTTACCCTTTTTTAAAAAATATTTTTTTTTAGTTATAGATGGACCTTTATTTCATTTATTTATTTTTATGTGGTACTGAGGATTGAACCCAGGGCCTCACACATGCTAGGCAAATACTCTTATCACTGAGCCACAGCCCTGGCCCCTGACTTACCCTTTTGATGTGGTAGAAAATCATATTTACAGATCCACATTATTTTTAAAATTTATTTATTTTTGGTGCTACTGGGAATTGAACCCAAGGGCACTTTACTACTAAGCTATATCCTCATCCTTTCTGAGAGTCTCCCTCAGTTCCTGAAGCTGGCCTAGAATTTATAATCCTCCTGCCTCAGCCTCCCAAATCGCTGGGATTACAGGGATCTGCTACCACATCTGGGTCCATATCCTGTTTGCTTTTTTTTTTTTTTTTTTTAACCCCCAGTCCTGTGGCTGGAACGCAGGGCCTCACGTGTGCTAGGCAAGCACTCTTATCACTGAGATACATTCCCAGGGCCCCCCTGCCCATATTCTATATTTAAGACTGAACTAACCATTACCATATACCATACCATCTGTAAAAATTTATATACTATCTATAAACATTTTCAATGAYTGCCCTCTATTCTCATCTCAGGCATCCCACCCCCACTCCCTTGGTTGGACATTCATATCGCCTACTCCATTTCTCCTCTGCTAACTGCTTCTCTTATTTACTCTTTGTTTATTTACTATTACATATGATAGCTGTTTCTGATGTGCTTCCCTCTATTGATTAAGAATGCCTCTTAGGAATCAGTGTTTTCATGTTAAAAAACATAGAGCTCTTTATAGAAAAGAAATATTAACTCATTAGTTTTAATCACCAAAGATATTTTTCCAGTGTTTTTTGCCTTCCAATTCTCTTTTCCAAATATCTTTAGAGTTTTATATTACTAATTAGTCTAAAAATCTTTACAATAAATCCATACAATGGAATACTACTCAAACAAAAGAAGCAAAAAGAAAAAGGCACAAACTATTCGTATATATTATAGGAATAAATCTAAAAATCATTCTGAGTAGAAAATGTCAGACTCAAAAGGGTACAGAATACTTGATGATATATCAGCAATGCAAACTAATTTACAGGGATAAAAATCCAGGAGTGCAGGAAAGGCATGAGGAAACCAGAGGTAGGAGGAAGGGCATAAGGAGACTTTGGGGTAAAGAAAATCTTCTTGGGGGCTGGGTCTGAGGCTCAGTGGCAGAGCACTTGCCTAGCACCTATGAGGCACTGGGTTCAATCCTTAGCACAACATAAAAAAATAAGCAAATAAAATAAAGGCATGCTGCCTATCTACAACTACAAAAAAATTTWAAAAAAAGAAAATTTTCTGTTTTGTGATAATGGTTTGTTTCATGATTGCACACAATTGCTAGACTGTTAGAAGTTTTTTTTTCTTTTTTAAAGTTATAGAAAATAATTAATGTATATAAAAAGATTTATATATTGACAATGAAAATTTGTTTTCACATTTCTAAATTACATCACATATACAGGTCCAATTTCAAAAACTATAAAATTACTATAATAAAGCTATGTATTAAGGCAAGTGCAACGGAGAATTTAGTTCTTGGATTATCAGAAAGACCTTAAAACAATTTTTGAATTATATGATTCTCATCATAAAGACCCTAAGCATAAAATTGCAGCTTTATGTATTAATAAGATGAATTTCTAATTATATCTAATTTCAAGACTTCCTTTTGTAATCTCAAGCAAATAATGAATAAGAAATTTCCCTTCATCTGGAAGATAGGTTTTTCCCTAAGTAAAAATGAGTACAAAACAACTTTTTCAGGTAACCTATACATTATGTAGTACTTATGTACATTTTATTTACTGTACTAAGGAATACACCCAAGCTCAGGCTGGTCTCAAGTTATGATCCTCCTGCCTCAGCCTCCCAAGCCACTGGGATTACAGGAATGCCCTACCATACCTAGCCTGTAGTAATTTATGACTAATGACTAAATGACCTTATTTTGTGATCTAACAATTTCCAACAATTCACCCCTATTATAGTTCCTTCTGGGACTACAGTGGGGAAAATTCTCACCTAGAGTTACCTAGATAAGAGCAGAGTTAGCTAATAGGTTGGATTTTTAGTTCTTCTAGTGGTTAAGAATATAGAATGAGACTTATCTGAGGTGGTGATGAAGCAAACCACAACTTAAAYCTTCARTTTTAAAAGATTCGTTTTATCTCAAGTTTGCTAAMCTCTCAGAGCTGCTTCTCTCTGTCAAGTCTTGTAAATGCCTACCTCATAGGATTCTAGCACTTGTAAAACACCTACCCCATCATAGAAGGAAAGGGAATTCATGTGATCCTTGGAAATGATGATACTTCCATGATGACGGTGAGAAAACAGAAGGCCACTAGAGAAGAAATGCAAGTTTCCTGGAAGAAAAAGAAGATTGGTCAGAGCTGTAGAGCTGGGTCCTGTGGACCAGAATCCAATATTCTTCTTACAGGTACTAGGGCACACCACACAAGAGACCAGTATCAGTAGCATTTATATTCTTAGTTTGTATGGTGAGTGCTATGCTCTGGAAAAGCCAAAGTAACCTCAGAGAAATTAAGCCATTGCCATGTGTCTTTGCATAAAAATTAGAAAAACAGCAAGTGTATAAACTATCAGCCTTGGGGAGGGGCAAAATTCACATGCCCTTACAGGTGCTTTTCAAGGAAATACTCTTAAGACTTTGGTTCTGTCTGCTCCATTACTGAGTTTATAGATTCTCTTTTCTTTTGCCTTGGCAGAAGCTGGATCAGCTCTAAAGAGATCACATTCCTTACTTATGGCTCAAGAAGAAACACTGGGATTTCAGTTGAAGGGTCTCAGTTTGTGATGTGTCCAGAAAAAGAATATTTGGACTAGGTAATAAATGGGTTCTACAGACACTGGGTGCCCGMTGTTCTGATGTTCTCTCTCTCCCCCCCATCTATTTATCTTACACATGCGTATGTGTGTGCATGTGCGCAAAAGACAAGTGACAGCTAGGCATTGAATGTGAGTTCCTCAGGACATGGATTCAGATCTAAGAACGACTGTTGTTTTCTCAGTGGACAGTTACACAGCTCAGTCTATGTCCTAGGAAGCAGACTACAGAAAGGATGTATAACTAAAATGATGAAGATTAAGGTTTGGCCTGGACTTGCTCTGGATCCTCAAAGGAAACAACCAGAGTATCCATTAGACTCTTGAGTGAAGCTGCTCTTGGGAGCTGGTTCAAGTTGGATCCTTTTTGTTCCTATAACAGCCTTTCTTTGTAAGTGTTCACATACAAAGATGAATTATATAAGAAACAGTACTGGGATGATGGGTTAGCTAATTTGGTGGGGACAGAGACAGATTTTTACAGAGATAAGGTAGCTCAAAGCACAGGCTTGAAAATACTGTCACCAACACCTTATTGCCAAGGCAAAGGACTAGAGACAAAGAAGAGAAACTGGTTCCTTGACTTGTAGTTCTAGAAAAGTAGCTCCAAAGTTCTGGAGGTTGCAATGATGAGAAGTGCAAAGGCCAGGAACCCGAGTRCTGCCTCCACCTTGAAGCTATAAGTTCTGAAAGCTTCCTGAGGAGGTGGAGTTTCAGAAGGAAGAAAGAGGTCTAGTAAGTGTGTATTAATGGAGAACGGAGAAAAATGGGAGAGACAGAGGCAGTTTTTAGGTATAGAGGAAGGGATGAAGCCTGACTGAAAAGAAGAAATAGATGTTTAGTCAGAGAGACATACCAACCATTCCATCTGAGGCAGCAGTAGCAGTCAGTGTAATTCAAGGCATCCAGCTTCAAGTCCTGTAACCCTCCCATCCTCCAACAAGTACAGCCTAGATTTCCCTGTGCACTCCCTTGCATGTAGCCTGGAATGAACCCAAGTTCCTCACTGCTGCTTTAGGGTCCGTCTTCTCCAATCTTGATATTCTTGTTCCCTTGGAGACACAATCCCTTTTTTTACTGTCCACATCTACTGCCCTGATCATGCCACAATATTTCCAATAGTTTTTCAAGGTGCTTCCCTTCCAAAGCCAGTATTCCCACTCCTTCTGAGAGATCAGAGGAACACTCAGGCCAAAATGACCCCACTTTTCTTCCAGGCCAACTCCATAGCACTGAAGAAACACTTGGAACATTCATCTTCTGATATCTTCAACCCCAGAGCCTACTCTCTGACTCCAGCATCCTATCCTTTTAGCTCTCACAACAACCCATCCTGTGATGCCACTGAACCCTGAGAGTCTACAGTCCTCCTATTTCCCCCTAATTCAGAAATTTCTGACATTCCTCTCATTCACATCAAGGGTTGATTCCCTGGGACAAGGACATACCTTTAATCTCCATTTTGTCAAGGGAAAGGGATGGGAGCAGATTTTATTAGTATTTCCTAAGCACCAAGCATATCACAAACATTATTGTTTTCCTTTTCAGTCCTGAGAAACCCCTGAAAGRTGTGTCGCTTTACTACATTTTGATAGTCAAGAATTCAGAGCAGGGGTTGGGGCTGTAGCTAAGCAGTAGARAACCTGCCTTGTACATGTGACACACTGAGTTCAATCCTCAGCACCACATAAAAATAAATAAAATAAAGGTATTGTGTCCATCTACAACTAAAAAACAATTTAAAAAAATTCAGAATATCTGGGATGGGGTTGTAGCTCAGTGGTAGAGCACTTGCCTAGCACATTTAGGAACTGGATTTGATCCTCAGCACACATCTAAATAAATAAATAATGGGGCTGGGATCATAGTTCAGTGGTAAAATGCTTGCCTAATATGTGTGAAGCACAGGGTTCAATTCTCAGCACCGCATATAAATAAATAAAAAGATCCACTGACAACTAAAAAAAWTTTTTAAAATAAATAAATAAAGGTATTCTGCCTATCTACAACTAAAAAAATTTTTTTAAAGAATTCAGAGCAAGAGGTGGTTAATGATTCTTACAGGACTAATGAACAGACTCATGTTTAGAGAGATTTCCCCAAAAGTCATAGAATTACTTGGTGATGAAGGCAAAGACACAGTACCATGCTGGACTCCTCTAATTCCCTCACCACTTTTTTCCTTCATTTTCCTCTTCCCAGAGCCACATGTGGCTAATCTAATGACATGCCTTCCCTGACTCTCCAGCCTCAACAGGCTCACAGTGCCATTCAGCAACCTGTCTACTATGGTCTCCCAGCTCCTTTCAGGAACTCCACTGAGACCACAGCCATCCACAACCTTCAACACTCTCCTAAAACTACAACCTCATCAACTTCTTCTATAGATGAAACTACCCTTCCAGAAAAAAAGACTTCCCAGGTATCATGTAGTAGAAACTGTTCTACCTACTGTCTGGTACTTGTACTCTTCCATGTCCTGGGTTCCCTCTCCACCTTGTGTATCTGTTAAGTGGAGCTGCTTAGAAACAAGTCCACTACCAATGGACAAACCTCAAAATCCTTCTAAAGCCTGGGGGTGGGGGGAGTCAATATTAGAGAAGAATTAGAGCATTTTACCTCTTCACTGTGAAGACAGGAAAGGGGTACATAAGGAAGTCTCCCTCTAGACTCTAAACCCAATCTAATTTTATTACTGTCTTGTGACTTTCATGAGCGTACAGTACCTCTGTCATTATCCTCAGGGCTCCATGAGAAAAATAAACTGACTCACTGGGTGGTCCAGTGCCAGTGCCCTGGTCTCTCCTAATCCACAGACCCTAGGGATAAAACTTCTGATGCCTGCTCTGGACAATGATGATGATGATGATGATGATATTTATTTATTTATTTATTTTATTTTTGGGAACAGAGAATTGAACCTAGAGGTACTTTTCCACTGAGCAATATCCCCAGCCCTTTTTTATTTTCTATTTTGAGGCAGGGTATCTCTAAGTTGCTGAGGGCCTCACTGAGTTGCTGAGACTGGCTTCAAACTTTCAATCTTCCTGCCTCTTCTTCCCAAGTTGCTGGGATTACATGTGGGTGCCACTGCATCCAGTGTCTGCTCTGAATTCTTGACTGTTAGACTATAGGCAAAAGGGACAGACCTTTGCAGGGGTTTCTCAGGACTGAGGCCAGAAAACTCCTGAGAAAATCTCCCTGGCTTCTTATCTCATCCTTAATGTCTTAGTGGATGAGCTCTGACCTTCCTGTTGCGTTCTGTAAATTAGAAAACCCAGGTAAGAGGAAATTTCCCCTCAAAGCCCAAGGAACAACAGGGGACTGCAGCATAGTTGTRCCTTTGACTAACCTCTCTATCTCTGAAAGCACAACAAGAGAGAAAAATAAGACCTCAGGGCAAAACAAGATACCAAGTGTCAATGAAGAATTTGGCCTTTTCTATTTCTGTAAGGAATGACATTGCAATTTTAATTGAAATCACATTGAATCTGTATAGTGCTTTTGCACAGTATGGCCATTTTGACAATAATTTTGCCTATCCAAGAGCATGGGAGATCTTTCCATCTTCTAAGGTCTTCTTCAATTTCTTTCTTTAGTGTTCTGTAGTTTTCATTGTAGAGGTCTTTCATCTCTTGTGTTACATTGATTCCCAAGTGTGTGTGTGTGTGTGTGTGTGTGTGTGTGTGTGTGTGTGTGTTTTAGGCTATTGTGAATGGGGTAGTGTTCTAATTTCTCTTTCAGCTATCCCACTCCTTGGTCTATACTCAAAGGACTTAAAATCAGCATACTATAGTAACTCAGCCACATCAATGTTTATAGCAGCTCAATTCACAATTGCTAAACTGTGGAAACAACCTAGATGCCCTTCAACAGATGAATGGATAAAGAAACTATGATATGTATATACAACAGAATATTACTCAGCATTAAAAGAGAATAAAATTATGGCATTTGTAGGTAAATGGGTGGAGTTGAAAAATATCATGCTAAGTGAAGTAAGCCAATCACAAAAAACCAAAGGCCGAATGTTCTCTCTGATAAGTGGATGCTGATCCAAAACAGGGAAGGGGGTGAGGCATGGGAAAATGGAGGAACTTTGATTGGGCAAAGGGGAGGGAGGCTAGGGAGGGTGCATGGGGGCAGGAAAGATATTATTACCCTAGATACGTGTATGACTGCACATATGGCATGATGCTATATTGTATACAACCATAGAAATGTAAAGTTGTTGGGCTGGGGATGTGGCTCAAGCGGTAGCGCGCTCGCCTGGCATGCGTGCGGCCCGGGTTCGATCCTCAGCACCACATACCAACAAAAGATGTTGTGTCTGCCGAGAACTAAAAAATAAATATTAAAAATTCTCTCTCTCTCTCTCTCTCTCTCTCTAAAAAAAAAAAAAGAAATGTAAAGTTGTGCTGCAATTGTGTATGATGAATCAAAATGCATTCTGCTGTCATGTATACATAATTAAAATAAATTAATTAATTAAAAAAAGAATTTGTTTTTTCCTCCTTCA